GGCTTAGACGATTAAGTGTCCAACTTTCGCTTCGGTCATGATCTCGTGGTTCGTGGGTTCGAGCCCCGCGTCAGGCTCTGTGCTGACTGCCAGCTCAGAGCCTGGAGCCTGTTTCAGAGTCTGTGACTCCCTCTCTCTCTGACCCTCCTCTGCTCACGCTGTCTCTCTCCCTCTCTCCTAGAAATAAATAAAAACATTAAAAAAATTTTTTTTTTAAATTAGAGCATGCATACTTAATGATCAAAGTCCAAGTGAGGCAATACCTTTTCTTTCTTCCCAGATAAAATATAACCCTTAGAACACTTTAATTCATTATATTATTACATTATTTTATTGTTACTTAACCCCAAAAGATGCTAATATTGTTTTATTATTTTTATATACAATTACTGTTTAGTTAGATTTAACCATATATTTATTGTTTTTTGTTCTTCATTACTTCTTTTTTTTTAATGTGTTTTTTTTTTTTTTTTTAATATTTCTAGGAGAGAGAGAGACAGCGTGAGCAGAGGAGGGTCAGAGAGAGAGGGAGTCACAGACTGAAACAGGCTCCAGGCTCTGAGCTGGCAGTCAGCACAGAGCCCGACACGGGGCTCGAACCCACGAACCGCGAGATCATGACCTAAGCGAAAGTCGGACGCTTAACCGACTAAGCCACCCAGGCACCCCTGTTCTTCATTACTTCTTATATCTCAGACTTTTCTTCTTGGGTCTCTTCTCTTGTGCAAGAATTTACTTTAGTGAGACCTTACTGGTGGAAATCTCTCCCAATTTTTGTTTGTCTAAAAATAACTGTATTTACTTTTGTTCTTAAATGATAGTTTTGCTGAGTATAAAATTTTAAGTTGGCAATTATTTCAACACATAGAAGATATAATTTCATCATCAAATTATTTCCCTTAAAGTAAGTTTTAGTTAAACTATAACCCCTTTGAAGATAAACTATCTTTTACTCTGGTTGCTTTTAACATGTTATCTTTGCTGTTGTTCTTCAATTTTACTATGACTTATCTAGATGTGGAGTTCTTTTTATGGATCTTGCTGTTATTCATTGAACTTCTTGAATCTGTGGCTTGGTATCTTTCATTGCTATCTGCAAAATTCTCAACCATCATCTCTTCAAATATTGTCTTCTTCTTAATCTCATTTTCCCCTTCTTTTGGAACTCTGATTAAACATATTTAATACTTACCATGCTATCCTCCATGTCTATTGACCTCACTCCATATTTTCGATATTTTGTCTCTCTATATTTTGAGCACTTTTCTCTGATTTCAATTTCACTCACTCCTCAGGTATGTCCAATATATTCTTTTACCTATTCAGTAAGTCTTTACTAAAGGATCAAAATTTTCATTTCTAAAAGTAATATTTGGTCCTTTTACAAATATGATAGGTGACATTTTATAGTTTCTTCTTGCTATTGATTTTTCAAGCTCATTTTAAAATTTCTTTAAATGTAATAAGCATATTTATAATCTAGTCTAATAATCCCAATAATGATATATACTTCTATGCCTCTTTCTGATTTTGTTTCTGCTTATTCTTGTTTCATTTCCTTGTGGGCTTTCATATTGTTTATTGTGAATAACTCATTGTCCTTAAAAAAATATTTGTGGAAATGAAAATGACTTCTTCCAGAAAGATCTGTATTTAATTCTGACTAGCATCTAGGGACACAACCAATCCTGGACATTCACACACTAAGTTTGCAATTTGAGAGTCTCTGAAACACCCAGATGATGCAAATCCAAGCTAAATTATCTGAAAACACAGCCTTATGCCACATTTCAGAAATTTTTTCCTTTCTTTTTTTCTTTAACCCCTTTACCCAATACCAAGAGTCTTCCCTGCAGGTAAGGCAAGAGTTATGGGTTTCCTGATGATTCAGTCTTACGTCAGTGATGTACCCCTTTGAGACTCCAGTTAATATGGGGAAGATCTCCTTTAATTAGATTCCCCACCTTGCATGGGTCCTTGGCCTTGACTTCTAGACTTATCAGTCCACAAGGCTGGCCAAAGCAAAGCCCTAGCTTGCCAGGATTTGCAAATCTCAGTCACCTTCATGTGAGGCAAAATTACATTAGTGTTCTGATACTTCACTTATCTCTCTAGATCTCCTTTTTAATTATTTTGGCTTGAGTTTCTTGTCATTTTCTTGTCAACAATTAGATGCTTTTTATGAATGTTTTAAAATTGTCTTATCCAACATTTTAAATTTTTTTCTGTGGAAGAGCTAGAGCAAATAACCTAACTATTTATCAGAAACACGTTTGGTATCACCATTCTTGAATGTTCTTCACCTGTCTCATATCTAGGTTTTTACTACCTTGCCCAGTTTCAGCCTCTCTCTGTCTTGCCTGTGTTTCTCTTTCCATTATCTCTCCTTTCAGTGCCCCTGTCTAACATCTTAGGAGCAAAATCAATAAATTCCTAATTTTGTTTTCTACAAAGTAGTGTTCCCCATTCCCCAAGACATCCAACTCCATAGGATCATATTTGTACCCAGGTGGCTTAACTACCATTTCTCCAAAAAGGTTTCCTTCCCTAAAAGGGTAAATGCAGTATGTTTGGAAGTCTCTAACTCAACCTGAAGAGATATAGAAACTATCAGAAGGGAGTATTGCTTGAGCTAAGAGTTACGAAGAATGTGTAAGAGTTAGTGGAGTCTCCCACATCTCTCCAAGCTCAAATAATGACTATTGTAACTGCCCCCATTTCAAAGTCATCTCTACCACCAGTTTTAGCTGCTGGAATAGGAAATTCCTTTTACAGACATATGCAGTTGATGTATTGAACTTCACATTAGAATCAGAAATTTGAGGGGAAGGAAATCAACAGATGAAATACGAACCTCAAGCCACTGGGTTAGTTCAGTCTAACCCAGTAGACAAGTACTCCCTTACTGAGTCTCTGAGAGGATAGAAGAAAAATTTCTTGGGGCACCTGGGTGCCTCAGTCAGTTGAATCCAACTTTGGCTCAGGTCATGATCTCGTGGTTCATGGCTTCGAGCCCCACGTCAGGCTCTATGCTGACAGCTGAGAGCCTGGAGTCTGCTTAAGATTCTGTGTCTCCACCCACCCTCCGCCCCTCCCCAACTCATGTTCTCCCTCTCTCTCTCTCTCAAAAATAAACAAACGTTTAAAAAAAGAAAAAAATTAATAGTGACAACTGGTAATTCTGAAGTTGAGCCAGCCTTATAAAATTCTGGATATGTCTCCCAAACTTCCCCCAGTTCAAAGGCACTTCTGAAAAAAAAAAATTGTTTGCTGAGCCCTAGCAAAGTTAGATTTAAACCCTATTCTCCAGAAACTTTCACATTAGTGAAACAGTGTACTAATAATTTCAGTACAATATGATGAATGCCATAATAGAGATGTATTCAATGTGTTATGGGTCATACAGAAGCATCCAAATTCTCTGGGTAACTGGGATGACTACTAAGGAAGGGATATTTGAACTATAGTGTAAAGAGTGGATAAGGTGCAGAAAGGTAATCTAGACGGAGGAAGAGTGAAACCTGTATTTTATAATGTTTATTTAGGGGAGCCTGGGTGGCTCAGTCAGTTAAGCGCCCGACTTCGGCTCAGGTCATGATCTCACAGTTTGTGGGTTCGAGCCTCACATCGGGCTCTGAGCTGACAGCTCAGAGCCTGGAGACTGTCTTCGGATTCTGTGTCTCCCTCTCTCTCTGACCCTCCCCTGCTCATGCTGTTTCTATCTCTCTCTCAAAAATAAAAAATAAAACATTAAAAAAATTTTTTTAAAAACTAAAATGTTTATTTTCAGAGAGAGAGAAAAAGGCGGGAGGGGCAGAGGGAGAAAGAGAATCCGAAGCCGGCTCCATAGTCAGTCCAGAGCCTGATTTGGGGCTTGATCTCATGAGGGTGAGATCAAGACCTAAGCCGAAATCAAGAGTTGGATGCTTAACCAACTGAGCCACCCACGTACCCCACCTGTATTTTAAAAAAGCATATCATTGTAGGGGTGCCTGACTGGCTCAGTCAGAAAAACATGTGACTCTTGATCTGGGAGTCATGAGTTTGAGCCCCACATTGGGCATAGGGATTACTCAAATAAATAGAAAACTTTTTTAAAAAATTTTTTATGTCTTTATTTTATTTTTTGAGAGAGAGACAGAGTGTGAGTGGGGGAGGGGCAGAGAGAGAGGCAGACACAGAAACCGAAGAAGGCTCATCAGTATTGTCTGTGAACGTCATACATATTGTTATATATAGCGGTAATTTGTTCTTATTGCATAAATATGACACAGTATATGTATCCATCCTAAAGTTACTGGACATTTGAGTAGTTTTCAGTTTGGGCTCTTATACTAATGTTTTTGTAAATGTGTGTCTTTTGGTGAAGACATGCACTCATTTCTCTTGGGCACATGCCTAGAAAGTGGAGTTGCGAGCCCATAGGCTTGTGTTTAGTAGATATGTCAGTTTTCTAAAGTGGTGACACTCCCAACAGCATCTACAAGAATTCTTGTTGCATATGATAGTTTTACAAATTTAAAAGAAAAAATAACTCTATTACAAAAAATAGAAGACAAATTTGTTATATCATCCTAGTTTCATGTTTAAATTACCATTTTATTTTTTTGAGGTTTATTTATTTATTTTGAGAGAGCATAAGCTCATGAGCATGAGCATGAGTGGGGTAGGGGCAGAGAGGGAGGGAGGGAGAAAGAATGCCTAGCAGGCTCCACGCTGTCAGTGCAGAGCGCAACGCAGGGCTCAACCCACAAACCATGAAATCATGATCTGAACTGAAATCAAGAGTTGGACACTTAACTAAATGAGCCACCCACGAGCTCCTAAATTACCATTTCAAACACTGTTTCATAGGGAGACTATTAACATACCCCAAAATGTTAACAGTGTTTATATTAGAGAGAAAGAAGAAAGAAGGGGAGAAAGAAGGGGAGATCACCTTAACTTTGAGAAATATTTGAAATGCTTTACAACAAGCATGTGTTTCTTTTAATTACTTTGTCTTAAAAATATTAAAGAGAAAAGTCTCAAAATGAAAGAAGAGCAGTCTCCTCCTACACTTCCCACACATCTCAGGCCCACACCTCCTGGCTTGAACTCCTTTAATAACCTGCTAGTTTCCAAAGCTGTGTCAGAATCTCTTTATCTGCTGCCTTGTTCTCTTTATCATTGTGGGTTTACACATTGTGGGTTCTACTGTTTTACTTTAATTTAGTAACATGTCAAGAAGGAGAGAAAATTAATATGACCAATCTGCCACTCTTATAAGTCCAGGCATATAATGCAGGCTGATTTGGGGGCATTATTTGGGATGTATCAAAGAAAAGTCAGCTGTTTGTTATAAAGACATCATTCTAGTGGGTGCGGGTACAGAGGGAAAGGATGGCCTGGGCGGGGAGCCCCAGAATGATTTAAGGGCTAACATATAGTTAGGAAGACACTAAGGTCGGCTTCTCAGCCAACTGTAGCAGGACGGGGACAGCAACAGAGGGTACGGAGCAGTCTTGCATCAGGGTCACCACCCACATCATGGGGCTGCTCACCCCAGTTCTGCTCCAGGACAGACTCCACCTAGAAGGAAACGCACCAGACTGTAAAAGCTAGGAACAAGGAAACATACCAGAAATGGCAAATATTTGGCCACACTTCTTAATCCTGGGCCATGGCAGATGTAATAATCCACAATGGCACTTTTTCCTGCAGGGCCTGGAAAGCCTCATACTTTCTCAACGCAGTGACAGGCACTGCTAATCAGTGTTGGCACTGCCATCCTGGGACTAACAGTTTTCCATCCCCCTCTCCTGCCCACAGGCTAGCAACACAGCCTATAAAGCCCATCCCGAGTTGTCTTGGAAACGTTGTGTTCCAGGGAATTGCCACAGACCAGCTGAATGGATGCGAGCTGACAGAGAACTACAAAGTAGGAAGGACTATACCCTGGGACATCTGAGTCCCTTGAGAGCACAGGAATTCACTTCTACTATGACCCTGGCCCTCAGTCCAGGGTGTCTTACCTGGTCTTTCAATAGGGACAGGGTCCCCTTTTCCAGGGCCTCAGCTACAAGATGATGCTCCTCAGACATCTCTGGGGGCAAAAAAAAGAGAGTCAAGAGGGTTGCTGGCAGAGAGAAGAAGCACACAGTGGGACAGGGCTTCAGTGTTTCATCAGACCTGGGACGAGCATCAGAAGGAGGTTCTGATCAGAAGGGGCGCCTGGGTGGCTTAGTCGGTTAAGCGTCCGACTTTCGCTTAGGTCATGATCTCGCGGTTCGCGGGTTCGAGCCCCGCGTCGGGCTCTGTGCTGACTGCCAGCTCAGAGCCTGAAGCCTGTTTCAGTCTGTGACTCCCTCTCTCTCTGACCCTCCCCTGCTCATGCTGTCTCTCTCTTAGAAATAAATAAAAAAATATTAAAAAAAAAAAAAAAAGAAGGAGGTTCCAGAGAGTCCCTGGCAGTGATAGAGGAGTTATTCCAAATGGGCTCTTGCAGTGGATCCTGCTTCCCTCTTAGCTTGTGGGAGGTCAGACTTGCGAGGCGGGTAGAGGAGGCACCCCCAATCCCTGGCCTGGGGAAAATGGCTAGTTTCTAAAGTGTGAAGGTCTATCCTTCATGAAATGGAAAAGGCAACGTATGCTGCCTTCTTCCTAGGATCTGAATCCCCACAGACCCCTTCTGTTCTGCAATCCCTCCACACCAGCATACTTCCAGATGCCTCCTCACCAATTAAGGCATCCAGGACATCCAGAACAGATTCTGTACGTGCTTTTACCAAGACCCCAGCAGCATTTAAAAGGCTACTTATGAGAGGACCTGCTAGACCCTCCATGTGACGGTCACCAGAGATCAGGACCTCAGACACCGAGGGCCAGGAGATGGGGGAGATGAGCGCCAGTCCCGTTATAGCAGATTGTCTTCAGTGTGACAACTGCCCTTCCTGCTGGTTCCTCCCTCTCTGCTGCAATTCTTTCCTGGGCCTCTTACTCTTTGTTCTAGATTCTGTTGCTGCCCATTCTCGTTGTGGTGCTTAGGGAGGCAGCTTAGCACATCTTTTTATTCCTCCTCAGTCAGATCCTAGAGGCCTCTCACCATGTCCTGCACCTTCTCCTTCATGTTTCTGAAATCCTCCAAATTCCAGGATTTCCCTTTAGAGGCAGCAATTGAGAACCTGACCTACCCAGCCAACAGGCTCCATTATTATCAAGGCCTCTGTAGACCCCATTCTTCATGAGACCACTTCTGTATGTCTTCCCTTCTAATCTTTTCTGGTTAAAATAAAGCACCCTTCTTCCCAGACATCCACCATCATTGCCTCCTGCTAATCCCACCTTCACCTTCCCAACTCACCCCCAGTCAAGTACCAATCCCAAATTCTTTTCCACCTCCAATAAATCCAAACTTATTTAGTCCTTGCCATCCAAAGTGCAGTCTCTGGACCACCCTAGTAGTAGTGAGGATTTAGAGAAAATTAGACCAGTGGTTCTCAACTATGTGCATGAGAATTACCTGGGGAGTGATTAAAACTCCTGATGCCCAGGTCACATCCTCAGATGAATTAAATCAGAATTTCTAGAGGTGGGACTCAGACATCACTAGTTTTAAAGTTTCCCCAGATGATGTCTATGTATAATCAATGAGAACCACTATGTTTAAGGAGACGGATGCAACCTCCAGACTAAAGTTGAAGCCTGCTTTGGGCACTGCCCTGCCCTTCTCTCCCCAGCTTCCACATCCCCCACCATACACATATACTAAGCTCTCCCACCTGAGCTGAAGTCCTTGAAGCCAAAGGCTCAAGGGTGCAGCTACACTGAGCACAGCTAGCTTCTATCCTTACTTAAGCAAGATGAGCCATCTTCCTCTGGAAAGAAAGGAAGAATAATTTCAAAGAGTCTTCAAGTCACCTCCTGCCCTCTCTGGACATTCTCTTCCCAGTGGTGGGAGTTTTCATTCCTGAACTCTGAGCCCTCACTACTGATGCCGGGGAGACTGTATCCTTATCATTGTATGTAAATGACAAAGCACTATATATACAGACCCCTTCCAACATCCTCAGACACAGACAACCATAGGATTATGCCTAGATAAGTGAAGAAGAAACAGAAGCCCAGACAAGGTACAACAGGTCCTCAGTCACTCAGCAAATTTGGGTCAGAGCAGGGACTGGAACCTATCTCCTGTCTCCTCTATTATGGCACTTTATTTATTTTTTTGTTTAATTATTTGAGACAGAGAAAGAGAGAGCATGCGGGAGCAGTGGGGAGAGGAGCAGAGAGAGGGAGAGAGAGAATCCCAAGCATGCTCCATACCCAGCACAGAGCCCAACACAGAGCTTGATCTCACAAACCGTGAGATCATCCCCTGAGCCAAAATTAAGAATCAGATGTTTAACCAACTGAACCACCCAGGTAGCCCTGTTATGGCACTTTATTATTTTTTTAACGTTTATTTATTTTTGAGAGAAAGCACACACAGGGGAGGGGAAGAGAGAGGGGGAGACACAAATCCGAAGCAGGCTCCAGGCTCTGAGCTGTCAGCACAGAACCCTATGCAGGGCTCGAACCCATGGGCTATGAGATTATGACCCGAGCGGAAGTTGGACACTTAACCAACTGAGCCACCCAGGCATAGTACTTTACATGACAGAGATTCGCTCTTGAGCTAGCAAGACCTTGCCAGGGCTGAATCAGCCACTTCTACATCTTCTGGGAGTTTCTGGATTTTCTACTACATCTAGACCTCTTTCTATCCCTCCTTCCCAAGTCCTCTTAGGCAGTAAAACCCTTCTGGGATCCAGGGGAAGACAAAATCCAGAGGAAGCAACATTCAGAATCACAGGGATCTTCTAGTCTAACCCACTCATGCTAGCATCAGGATAAGCACAGCTTAGGAGGCTACAGAGCCAGTGAGTGGCAGAGCCACTAGACCCCGAGACCCTCCTACCCCTAGTTCCAGTCCTCTTTTCACAGCCAATGTTAACCATGTAAGAACTAGACATGTAATGCAATTATGCTTCCCAGGTCACTAAGCCTTCAGTAAGGGCTGGGACCCCAGGATCCAGCACACCGACCTGCACGAAGCAAGTCAAAGTTGTCAGAGTCTGGAAACCCTAAGGCCAACACACAATCCAACCTGCCTCTCCAACAGGCAGGTATTTTTTCCTGCTCACACCACGGTCCCCACCCCTATTTCATTCTCAATCCTGATAACCCTATAATTCTGGGCCATTTGTTACCTTCTTTTAAAAAATAGTATCCTTGCCCTTCCTAGAAGGATGAACAGAAGGCCTAGAAGCCATTCACCTTCTGGAAAGGATTTTGTGTTATCCAAGAAACAAATATCTAAGCTAGTACCAGAAAGGGAGAGAGAGAACCAGTTATCAGAAACACAAGTTCTTTCTCTGTAAGTTCCTCTTTCATATCTCTCCCCAATTCTCACACCCTCCCCCTCACCAAAACAAAAACAAACAAAAAAACTCAGAAAGAGATAGGAGTTAACACCTCTAGGTAGAGAAGGATTAGCATTATGATGAGGCAAAACCTGGGTGTCTGAGCAAGGAGCCTCAGTCCTTCTTCCCAGCCCTGAACCCTCCCCCTTCCTTGGAACTTCCCCCCACCTTCAAGTTTACCAGGGCTCCTCCAGGCTGACACAGAGTCTCGCTGAACCTACCCCCACCAAGCCTGCCCCCACCAGGCCTTGCTTACTCATTCTCTACATGTTGGGAAAGATGAGCTGCTTTACTCAATAGCCCAGGACCCGCTTTAGGGGGTTGGTTACTGACCTTTGGTGCTAGGAAAAGGATTCACAGTGATTAATCCCTAGGTGCTTTACATAATTAACTTGCTTGATCTCCCAAGCAATCCTCATTTTACAGATGAGAGAACTGAGGCTCAAAAAGGATCAGTAGGTAGTTCAGCCAGTTTCACAGCTAAACCCCGTAGCAGAGCTGAAATAACCCACATCTGACCCCAAAACTCACGTTGTTTCCACTGTTGATTCAATAAATGTTTATTGAGGACCTTTTTATTCCAGGCACTGTGACTCCTGCCCTCCTGTATCTTGGAAAGGGAGGCAGACATTGAGTAAGCAAAAAAATCTCCGTGTAATTATGAACCGTGAGAAATGCTGAGAAGCAAATAAAAACAGGGCATCACTAAAGAGTAATGGGAGGGACTTAAGCAGTGCCACAGGCACTTTCTTAGGGCAAGAAGAGAAGTCACTAAGAAGGCCAGGGAGCAGCTGAGACTGCTCAGGGAGGTCTTGAAGAAAAGCTGAAGAGCCTGGCATCTGGGCTGGTAGCCCCTGACCTCCCATGGGTGGGCCAAACCTGGTTCTCTCCCAGGCCCTGCCTCCCAGGATCCTAACCTTGCATTCCTCACGCTCCGCAACATACACTGCCATTCAGTTTTCAGGGTTTCCTTCCTTGCTGTCTCCAGAGTGTCTGTCACCAGATCTAGGTCTGCTCTCATTTTCCAGATTGATTGCAACAAAGTAGGTAGTTTTCTCTTCAACTCAATGGAGGGAGTGGAGGGGAGATTAGAGCTCAGGCTTCCAGGAGTGACATTTCTCCCTCTCCATCAGCTAGTTCCTATTTGAGATTAAGGGTCTCTGGGACCGGAAAACCAAGGAACATAGTACCCCATCGTAGTCACTTTACCCACTATGGGGGCAAGGAGGTGGGAAGAGAACTCTCTAGCATCTTTGGAAGGTTACAATGTGCCAGCACCATGAGATACTTCACACACAATTTCATTTCACCTCTCACCACAAACTTATGGTATAGGCAGACTTGTACCCATTTTCATGAGGCAACTGAGGCCTAGAGACAGGTTGTGAATGGTCCAAGGTCACAAAGCTAGTACGTGTAGAGCTGAAATCCAAACCCTAGTCGTATGAGTCCAAAGCATGGGCTCTTCCCATGGCACTGAGACAGGCATCTTTCCAGATCACCACACCCACTTCTGGGAGATGGGGTTCCAGCTCCTCATACTGGTCCCTGGTACCTGACCACATAGTCCACAGCCTTGGGCTCCAGAAGGCATTTCTGATTCCATGAGGAAATGCATTTTGTGACTAAAAATAGCCTGCAAACAAATGACCCTCAAGGAAGACCTACATCCTTGCCTCTGCTAACCTCCCTCTACCTACCTAATACCCTCCCCGCCCCCACTCTATATGTACCCACCACTGAGCCTCATCCTATAAACAACAGGCATTCTAGAAAAAACTGAGCTCCCTTTGAAAAACTCCAAAGACGCCTCGCTACCAACACTATGGTAGGAAGGCGTAGTTCAAAGGACCAGTAAAATTTCAGTGGAAGCCTTTCACTTTTTAACTAAAAAGGAAAAACAAAAGGCATCATTTCACTCAAGGAGGGTTAGGCCAGGAGAAAGGTTGGGTCCCCTCTGCTGAGCTGCTCCACACTCTCCAACAATTTCAGCTAGGGGAGAAAACACCCACACCAGCATTAAATGCCTGCTGAGGGGGGAGGCTGGCGATGTCCCTGTAAGTCCCTTGGAAGCACCATGCCCTCAGCCATCAGAACCTCTATGGTACTTGGTTAGTGCAGGAAATGTTCTACAGGTGCTCCGATTTCATTGTGCTTCACTTTGGCTCTCTTAGTGAGTACCTACTGTGTGCTGGAGATCAACACAGAGAGGTTGGTAAAACCCGTCTCCGTCAGGAGCGATTATTCCCAGGCAACCAAGGGAGAGGGGCATGGCTTGCCACAGGGCAGAGCAAAACAGCACAAAACACAGATCTGGGCAACTCATAGGAGAGCAGAGGAGAGTGGCCTCTTGAAAACAGTAGGTTTGGGTCCAAGCCAGAGGAATCGATCACCCTGGAGGGGAGCAGGGATGCAAGTGAGCTGGGGGTGTTGGAGGGTTTCCTGGAGGCTGATGCAGGAAGAATGAGAGGCTTCCTGAAGGGGGAAGAGGAGGCCAAGCTTGAGGAAGGAACGGGCTCGGGGAGTGCCAGGAGTTGGGCATGAGGGGCTGCACCGGCCAGGGCACCTCTACCTCAGATGCCCTTGGTGCCCAAAATGGGCATCTCCTCCTCTCTCTCCCCACTGCTACCCTCTCCAACCTCACCTGTTCTCAAGGGAATCTAAATACTGTTGAGGTATCCAGGTCTCCAATGTCTTCATTCTCTGCTTGTGGGACCCATGGAAGGCCCCTGCAATTGTTACTTCTTTGAATAATTTCACTGTCAACATTCCCTTTGAGTCTACCACGTCCAGAACTTGGAACTCAGCCTTTTGACCTGGAAAGAAAAGGGTAAAGGTCACACTGAGGCGGACCCAAAAGATCTCTCTGCAGAAAATCCTCCCTGGGAGAAAACCCTCCCATCCTGGGCTCCCCCTCCACAATCCCCTTCCCTTCTGTGGAGGTCCTCCAGCTGTGGTTCCCAGGAGATGCTGTGCTCATCAGGAATTATCACGGGGGTCACATAATCCCAGGTTTGCTCCATTTTTGCCACCTTCTTACCAATTTACCTTCGATAAATCACTTAACCTCTTTGAATCTGTTTCTTCATTCATAGAAGGAGAATATTAATAGTACCTACTTCCTGTGCTTGAGGAAATTAAACAATGCAGTTAAGCACTTAGCAGAATGCTTCGCACACATACTAAATGCTCAATAAATGTGAGCTAGCCCTACTTAACTATCTGGGAGCCTGAAATGAACCAAGGAAAAGTAAAGCTAAAGAATTAGGAGCCCTCGCCAACTGAGAAATAAAAATTAAGCAGAGTTCAGTCTCTGGTGTTTGTATGAACCATGCAGGTGTAAAGTGAAGCAATCCTGGAACGTCGCCTATCCGTGGGGACTCTGCCCAGACTGATCAGGCGCTTTCATAAGGGCCTTGATGCTGAGTCAGCTGCTGGGCCAGGGTTAGCGGAGCATGCGTGGTGATGCTTCCAGCTGACTGCCCGTCTCTCAGCCCTCCCAAATATGAACCTACAGACAAGGAGGAACTTCTACAGCTAAGTTGGGGAGGTCGGGCAGGGCTGGATCTCCAGAGAAAAGTGCATTCTGTAACTGACGGAAATATGACAGAACTGGAAATGGTGCCTTAAATCAGTCCTGTATGAGTTACACTCACATCCCAGGGTCCATTTGTTTCTTGAGCATGTACTTTATCCAGGACAAAAGAAAAATCAACCCTGACACACAAAAACAGTGTAGTATGGGGGGTGGGGGACTAAGTTTACAGTAGAGAAACTTGACAAACACCACCTCAGCCAGGTGACCAAGGTCAACATCAACAGTGATAAGCCATGTTGATAGTACATATCCTTGATATGATGCAGTTGAGGATGGCACTTTACCTCAATGGTCTTCCTCTCCAAAACCCATTACTTCAGTTGAACCATGAGAAAAATAGTCAAGCAAATTCCAATAGACAAGCATCCTATAATATGCCTGACCAGTACTCCTCAAAACTGTCAAGATCATCAAAAATAAGCAAAGTCTGAGAAATTGTCAGAGCCAAGAGGAGCCTCAGGAGATAGAATAACTAAAGGTAATGTGGTATCCTGGATAAGATCGTGGAACAGAGAAAGGATATTAGGTAAGAACCAAGATAATCAGAATAAAGTATGTGGACTTTAGTTAATGGAAAACAAAACAAAAGAAAAACCTATGCACACATCCACACCATCAGCACCATATAGTTAAAAAATAATCTATTTGAAAAGGAAGGAGGACATGTTGCTAAAAATCAATTCAAATTACCCATCCACTTCATTCTTAAGGACTTTTCTTAAAAGTCTGGTTTCACCTCTGCCTCTGAACTTTTTATGCAAACAGACAGACTTTCCCTCAAAGGAAGTTGACTGACTCAGTCGATTTTTTTTCCTGTACTTAACGCTTTTCCCCCTGTCCCTGGGGAGTAATATCATGGCAAAACACCCTAGTCCTAGTTTAAAGTTTTTTTTCTGCTTTCAGTGAACTGGTCATTCTGCAAACTGGTTTTTTGAGATTAGCTTTTAGTAAATTGGCTCTTGGCATTTGCTTTTCAGAGAATTGACTCAGAGTCTTTGAAAAACGGTAGTCTAAGTTTTTCTGAAGCCCCTTGCTTGCTTAATGAAACCACCTGTGGAAAGGCCCAAGTAATCTGGACCCTGCTCTTGGTCACATAATGGCTATGCCTGGCACATGGCAGGTGCTCTAAAACTATACAGTGGTACTGTTTGGATTCTTTTCCATCTCTTAATGAGATCCAGACGGGCTGCAGCAAAGATGTCTGAGCCGTAAAAGTCCTTACCCTGAGGTCTGAGACACTGAAATAAGTCTGCAGATGAGGGTCCAACAACATTTACCCCGGTGCTTCTATAATCCAAAAATCTGAGTTTGGAGGCAGGGGAATGAAAGAGACTCCTCTAGAAATCCCTCAGGCCCTTAGGGAGTTCTGCTCACCCATTCAGTCATGATCTCCAGGGGACATGGGGGATAATAGCTGCCAGCAGAACAATGGTGCTGAACTTCGACTGAATGCCCCTTCTGCACAGCCACTGTCATAAATGACCTAATATATCTCATTTGAGTCTTGTCACATTCTTGTCAAGTTGACAGCTGAGGAAACAGACTTAGAGAGAGAAAAGGCAACTTTTCCAGAGGTCACCCAGCTGGTAAGTGGCAGGGCCAAGCTTAGAAACCAGCTGCCCTCAGCTCTCAGGCCCGAGTCCTTTTTTAGCCACTAAGCAAACTGCCTCTGTTTATTTATCCGTCTAAATGACAAACACATAAACACGTCAGAAGACCTCAGCTAACTTAAAAGTGAATTATTTACAAAAGGAAAACATGGGAAAAGAAGACAATTTAGGAGTAATTTCCAATAAAAATAAATTTTCACTTACCCTGTTCCTTTCTCCCCATGCAGCTCTTCTGTGCATTTGTTTTTTTAAGTTTTCATTTAAATTCCAGTTAGTTAACATCCTTGGTGCATTTCTTAAGCTGAGGTGTGTGGACACGTGCAAACAAATTCCAGTATATACAAGTTCTTTGTTGACTGGCTGAGGTGATTGATGGCAATGGGGAATTGACAGTGTGGTAGAGCAGGAGTGGGTGAAGTCTCCTGGCTGGCCATCTCTTACCCCCTTGTACTGACCATGGAGCCCAGAATCCAGCCTATTAAACAGCCCTTCACCCTCCTCTGTCTCTAGTATGTCCTCTAGGGTGAGGTCTGTCCTGCAGTACTGGCATCCCAGAAATTTCTCCTCCCGCTCACCAGAGAGAAGCAGTGAAATCTGTCAGCGTCAAGGATGCTTCTGACAGCAATCATCTCCCCTCCAGCATCCATTTCTTGGACCACAGCTCTTGTGATTTCCTCAAATAGGCTGGACACCGTGCCTGATCCAACTGGAGACAAAGAAGCCAGTTTCAGTTTGGGGAAGGGGGATATTGGTTCAAGTTTTTAAATCTCCCTTTGGCAGCCTGGGGTCAATGAAGACCAAAAAGTTCTAGAACAATCAGGACTTGGAATTATTTGGCTTCCCTGTTTCTAGAAGGTGAGGTAGTCACTACACACTAGGAGGGTAAGCATCACAAATGCTAGATTCTCCTCCACCCTTCATAGAACCCTTCTGGAGGAAAGATGGAGAAGTGATTACCCCAAATGGAAAATAAGAGTGAGGCCTGTTTTCTGCATCTCTGACATCAGAGTTGCCCTTTTGTTCAGAAGGGCCTGAAGGGTAGGAAGACAGGCCCACCATCTTTCAGCCAGATCCCCACAGTGTTGATGAACAGAGGACCCAGGAAGAGATGAGGGGCATGGCTGCCAGACCCCCATGATTACATTACCAACCCCCATGATTACTTCTTCCCTTGGCTTTGGCTCCTGGGCCTCCCTCCCTTGCTGTGTTCTGCAAGGCAGTTGGATGGGTACTCTTACCAACCATTTCCCAATGAGATCGTGATAACTCAGCCTCAGAAGGAAACAAAAGAGAAAGGATGGAATGCAAGAGTGTCTTGGGAGTAGGTGCCCTGGATAGCCCTCCACCCCCATGTCCTGTCTCCTTGGTTACTGGTCACCATCTAAAAGGTCCCCTTACTCTTGGAAAAGTAAAATGAATCCCAAAACTCCACCTGGGGCTTCTCCCCTATCCACTTTCCCCTTCACCCTCTCCTGGTCTACAGTTGGCCTCTGTACCCCCCTAGTTCCCCTGCAGGACCCTCCATAGACTCATTACCAAATCCAACCTGATACAGTGGTCCTTCCCTGTTCCTACTGAGCAGCAGCTCTTTGTCCCCATCACGCTTGACCCTTCTAGCGCTCTTACTTCCAAATCCTTCTCCCTCTCCCCTTCCGTCAATCCCTCTGCAGCTCCTTCCTCCCTTATCTGTTTCCCTTTCTTCAGGCTCCTCTGTTTTCCTCCTGGGGCCAGGACTCCCCTCACAAGCTTTCTGGGCTCCACTTCCCCATCCTACCTCTGGCCACCTTCCCTAAGTCCCTTCTGGCTGGCCTAGGCATCTACTCACCCATGTTCCCTTCTCCTTCCCTGCCCCCATCATGGTGGCCAGCCCTCAGCTCACTCTCAGCCAAGGAATTCTTCCGGCTATCTGGAAAGGCAGTGCCCAGGGCCCACAGGCCCATTTCAGGGCCCACTCACCTCAGCTGCTCACCAGGAATGGAAGTTGTGAGAATCCCCTCTGTAAGAGCTCTGCACAGGTCCCAGCCACCCTGTCTCAGGAAGTCCTAAGAAGGGAACTGACAGAACTGGAAAGCTGGGTAGGGCTAGGTGCCCCACCTCTCAGGCCTTTAGATAAGCCACATTATGGCTGGGCAGATAAGGCTAGAGGTAAGATATATATAAAACACATATATACAATTTATAGATATATAGATATATACTCACCTGGTATGTATTCTAGGTGAATTTTGGACCAAAGAATGGTAAGGCATACTGGACCATGCATTCCAAGTGCCCGCAGGCAATGGCTATGGTTGTGCCAAGGGGTATGAAGAGAGTGACAGAGCTAGAAACAGCTAACAACATGCCATGCTGCGATGGGCAATGCTGGAGACTGAGAGCCAGAGCAGCTAACACCCACGGGGGGCAGGCTGCCCAGCAAGCAGGACTCAGCCTCCCTCCCCGCACATGCTCCCACACAGCCCTCTCAGGGAGATGCCTCCACCTGTCCTCTACACCCACCTCCTTCTCCAGGGAGAGGCCTCTGGCCCCCACCCCTCAGTCCTCAGAGATCACCACTAGAGTGAGCCTGGCCTGTCTCCTGGCCCCCGTCTCCCTCAGTTCCAAAACAACATTTAAAGACATGATGGTGGTAGTAATGACAGTAATGTTACTGACGTGGCTCTCGTGTGTTAAGTATTTACTATACAAGGTGTTGTGCTAATCCTCACAACACCACCTATTATCCTTCTACAACAGAGGAAGAAACTGAAGCTCAGAGCAGTAACTTGGCAAGGCCACAAGTCTAGTAAGTGGCAGAGCAGGATTTGAACGCTGATTGTCGTTGACGTGCCCCAGCCCCTGACCCTGACTGCATTCCTGCTGGTCCCTGGAAGCTCCCAGGGCACCCCCACTCCCAGGACTGGGCTCGGGGGTCTATATTGCTCCTCCAAGCACTGTGAGAGCCTCACTCAGCAGACTTGGACAAAGACCCTGCACTCTTCCCAACACCTACTCCAAACACACTGTGAGGCGACGCTGGCCCAGAGCCAGAGAGCCCAGGCTGCCTGAGGCAGCTCCTCCCATCTACCTGGGACTTTGCACCTGTCCCAGGAACAGCACATGACCCTGCACAACATACACTGAAAGGTCCTCAAAGATCAGAGTCCCTCCACTAAAGGACTCCTCCCCTTTCCTGGCCCCAGGAGCCCAAATAAGTCCTGGGGGCCTACCTCTTCCTCTCCCACTCATGCTTAGGGCAGAGCGGAGGAAGCAGGAAGATTGTTCCAAAGTCAGGGAGGCTGGGAGGAAATGCAGCTTTCCCAGGGAAGGAGCACGGTTGGGGGGAGAAGCGAGAGCTGGGAAAGGCGGTCTGAGGAAAGGGCTAGGCACTCCTGGGGACTCCGGCTTCACTTATGAAGTCACTGCCAGACTGACCCCCTCCCAGGCCACGCACGAGCCATCACTCAGCCAGCCCACGGAGGCCAGAGGTAGGAGCTCTGACGGAGGAACAGCCAGCCCAGGTCACAGAGCAGGACTCCGCTGCTGCCTCTGCCCGTCCCAGCCGGTCCCCTGAGCCGGTCCCCTGCCAGCCCCTCAGGCTGTCTCCGCTGAGAGCCAGGAAGACCAGCAGCCCCGGAGCCCCTCACACTACCCTCAGCAGGAACCACTGCCCAAACCCCTGCCCCCTCCCCCGGGGCCCTCCAGGAAGCAGAGGCCAGACTCAGGGGAAACAGGAACACATTGTCCTTTATTTGCGTTTCTCAGAATACTGTACAAAGGGAGTAAAAATCCTATTCACACGTTGCTTAGAAAGATTTTGAGGTGAAAGTTCCCTATGATACATGGGGTGGGGGGCAGGGGGACCAGGAGGCAGGAAACGGGACCAATGACCTCCCCTCCTCCCTCAGGGCCCTGGAAGGGGGCACGGGCACCCACAACTCTAAAAGTAACACAGACCCTGGTCAGATGGCAGAGGGGAAAGAGGCGGCTCCTCTCCAGCCCACACGCAGGCTCCTGCCCATCTCCTGTCATCTCAGGCTGAGGAGACCGCACCCGCAGGTCACTCCTGGCTCCTTCCACTACCTTGCTGGGGCAGGGACCGTTCTGTGCCCCACCCCCCACCCCATTTGGGGGTGGCCCTGTAGCCCCACATGTACACACAAGAGGCCCTGAGCCAGTTCCAGTCTGCATGAGGAGGCTACGAGGTGAAGGCTGCAGAAGGGCCCCACCGTTCATCATTTGTCTCAGTTTCTCCACACCCCTCACCCCGCTGCATGGGGCAGCATCGAAGCGGGAAGCGGATGTGCTAATGTGCTAACCATGACTCTTCCACCCCCTCCACTCCTCACACAAACCCAGGAGCTCTAACCCCCACCCCAGACCCCCGCAGCCTCCCTTCGGATTATCACCACCAGCCTGGGGAAAGCAACTCTCTGAGCGCAACCGCTTCCCAAAGGATAAGGCTGGGTCTGGCTTCTATCCCCACGCTCTTCCCTTATACCGATCTCTGCAACTACACGGCCCCTTCTTCCAAATTTCAATTCACCGTCCCCCCCACCCCCACCCCCTGCCCATCCTCCCCACCTCCCAGGGCCAAGATGAGAGCGGCCTGGGCCCCCTCACCTCTGGGACCAGGCCACCCACACCCAGCCCCTCTCCTTACCCTCCCCGCTCCCATCCAGTACCCAGGCTGGGCTGGAGGGGAGCTGCCAAAAGCATGAGACTTACAATAGGCAGTTCTCTACCCAGAGGGATGAGGCATCATCGTGTGCCTGCTTTCACACATACGAGCACACACTGAGTGTCATCCTAAAGACAAGAATTAAAGTGAACCAATCTAGAAGGTGTACCGTCCCCCTGCTCCCGTTGCAGGGGTTAAAGTGCTTTAGCAGTCTGAGGATGAGCAAGTGAGCAGGGGGTTTCTCCTGTCCCAACCTCACAGGTCGGGAGCCTAGCCCGTCCCATGACTGCCCCCACGGAGTCTCTATCCAAAAGGCAAAAGGAAAAGATCAAAAACATCAGACAGGGTCGGAGACGTGGAGGGCCCCACCCAAACCCCACTACAAGCTACGTCAAGTCGGCTACCGGGGGAATTGAAGGGGAAACTAGGGCCCAGAGGCTCCACCCCCATCTCTAGCAGGATCCAGAGGCTCCTTCTGTCTTCAGCATCACAGCACAGGCCTCCACCCCTCCCCTGCCATCCCAGGCAGGGGAAGGGGCTGCACCCTCAGTACTTATTGATTCCAAAAATTCGGACTCCATGGAGCTGGGGCAGTTTGGGGATAAGCACACTCATCAAGGACACAGTGTTGAGGATGAAATGGATCTGGTCGTACTTGGTATAGAAGCTGGTGAGGAAGTACCTGGGTGGGAATTTTGGGAAGAAGCGTAAGCCTCTGTTTGGAGGACCCCTTCTTCCCTCACTCCTGGGTGGGGAGTTATAGAAAAGACCCCCAAAACAGAAGTAGGGTGACAAGAGGTCCCTCCCGACCCAGTCCCCTTGCTTTATCCCAGATCTGTGGGCTCACATCACTGGCGGGAACGAAGGCCCATTTGGCAAAACACAGGGCCAGGGAGGTGCAAGGTCTGAGCCCAGCACTGGACCCAGGGATGCTTCAACCTCCCTGCCTCTGCTCATTCCCATGCCAAAAGCCAGAGCTGGGGATGGGTTTAAGCCTGGCAGGGCTTGGAGTTCCCCAGGCCTTGGCCTGCCTGCTGGCGTCCTCCCCGACCCAAGGCACTCACAGCACGATGGGCGTGATGGTTAAGAATTTCCGAGATGCTGTGAACTGGACCCCATAGTCCATCTGCTCCCAGTGGGTTAGCAACCTCGCCTTGCCCTGGTCCGGAGTCTCGAAGGGTGTCCCCTTCACCGTGTGCAGGAAGATGTACATGCCCTGGAGGAAAGAGCCTTCATTAGAGGACACAAAAGGCAAAAGGCCCTCCAGCTCAGCTCCACCACCCCGGAGTCAAAGAAGTGGGCTCTAGGCTATGTGGAGCCTCCCTCTCAGGGCCAGAGAGATGTGGGCTGGAGGTCAGGATGGGGCAGCCGGGAGCCTGGCAGAAGAAGGGGACCCACTGGGTGAGAGGAGAGGCCTGGCACGAGGATAAGTCATGGGGAGAACTCAGCTGCAGAAATGCCGAGCCGCCCAGCAATAGCTCCCCTGAGCCGTCGAGGCAGGGACGAGCCCATGACCCCTGCTTGCCTACCAAAGAGTACAAGCCAGCAGGCGGGGGCTGAGGGAGCAGAGGGGCCAGACTGGAAGACAGCGGGGAATCCAGACTCAGGAAAGGGGGATTTCTGTGCCAGGCTGGGGACCTGGGTCCTGGGGACTCTCTGGAGCCCTTAGTTCAGCTCCCAGTGGCCCTCCCTCCAGGCCCACATCCTGAAGATGTGGACAAATCTGCAGATTTTAGTCCTCTTATCAGAGTGCACATGGCTGGAACTCAAAGCAGGAGGGGGATGTGAGACAGAGATAAGAGCTGGGCCTGGTCTCAGGTGACAATTGTTGTCAGCATGTCACCCTGATATCTGGCCCATGTTTGGGGGGCTCCTACTCCTCCAGTCCACCAAAGAGTAGCCCACATGGCCGGGGCAGGCAGCAGGCAGCCCCTCACCATATTGTGGATGAGGTTGGTGAGGGTCCAGACAACAGGGACGCTCACAAAGGGGATGCTGAGCAGCACGACATGGAGAAGCCCGATGGCCAGCACGTAGGACAGCCAGATGCCGCGGCTGTTCATCACGCGCGTGTTGGGGTTCACCTCACTGTGCGCCGTGCCCACATTCATCCTGCTGCCCCTCTCCTGCCGCTGCTCTGCAAACAAGCAGCACAGGTGAGACAGGTCACACCACTTTCCTGCCCCCCCTCCCCCTGCACTGTCCAAACCCCACAGGGAGGGAGGCACTGCTTTCCCCAAGAACTCCAAGCAGTTCTGCTGCTCTGATTCTCAAGCAAAG